CAGGAATGGAACTAATGAGGACAGTGTGCTACAGCATCAAAAATGTAAAGACCTAGGTATGGTCTTTGGCTCCCCAGTCTTTCACAGGCTACAAGCATATATCTGTCAAGTCTCCATTCTTTACCACTTCTCCAGGAATCCTCACAGTAGAGACTAAGCATCCTGTCCTGCCTTGCATATGGTCAGAGCAAGACATTTTTATCTTTGCTTTTTCTCAAGATCTAGGGGAAGGATACGGAAAGATCATCCTATTTTTTTTTTTGAAGTTCAGAACAATACTTTTTCCAGACAACCACTTGGCCTACTAGAAGACATATAGAGAATCGTTTTTTGAAGCAAGGTAAATTTGCATCCACTACCATATTTGTCAAATTATTTGCACTACATTCTATTCAGATGAGCACTGCACAAGTCAGAAGCATGCAATGACCTCAACCTAATTCTCTAGCAGACACTTGATCCAAAAAGGTGGCAATTAGTATATCTAGGAATCACTGCTGCACAGAAGAGAGACAGGATTGAACAGGACTGCACTATTTCCTCACATCAACTCAAGAAATTGGAATAGATTGGGATGGCATTTGTCTCCAGTGCATTTAATACCCTACACATTCAAAACACTATTTCGCTTTGTACAGCAAGCTTATGAAAAGGAACTCTAAGTTATATGCAATACATGCATTAAATGGTTACACTATAACTTTATGAATGATGATGAATGCCTTACAGAGCAAAGTCAAGTGCATCTACCAGTGGATTTCAAAATGTTCACTATGGCAAGAGGCCACCAATAGAGAAAACTCTACTACAATACCTTAAGATATTGATTTATGGGAACTAGATGTCAGTCTTATTTTAGACTGGCAGAATGAAGGTTTGCTATGTGATGAGCCATATGAATATGAAAGTAACCGAGATACTTCCTGAATATCTCAATTCTCTTATCAAAAGTTGATAATGAAATAAGGGCCTGTAGAAAATATGGTTTATGGCTTTTAGTTGGAATTAGACACAAATCACATATGCATGCACTTATGGCTTAAGCAAGTAAATTTGTTCTTCTTAAAGTAAAATGACTTACAGGTTCAGTGCATGGTCCTTTCATACTATAGCTAAAGCCAGCAGGAAAGGAAAAAAAGGGAGAGAGAGAACTAGAGGAAGTGTCAAAGGTGCAATAACATAAAAGAGAAAACAATACTTAATTGTACATTGAGAATTTCATCGTCTGAGTTAAAGGCATAGAAATGCTGAAGCTTCTGACTTCTAATGCTTTACACATTAGACGACGACAAAATGCTTGCATAAACTAAACCATTAAATCCTTAAAGCTGTTAAAATGCGTTGACTGAAGAATCCTAATAATTATTTTAGAGTTAAGTTCATTTCAGCTTCTACTGCCCAGGATACTCAAAGTACACACTAAAGCAGTTCAGTGACACTGCTCCTGAAAATTTTTCCTCTGAAATGTTTAAATACTATATACTGCATTAGTAATGCTAGTAAGTTCAGATTTAGATACTGATTTCTTTTATTTCAGCATCAGGGAAGTCAATTTAGGAATCCTACAGACATTTTAGTGCCCTTTCTAAGTATACAAGACTATAAGGTTTTCTGCCACCTATAGGAAAGCACATCAAAACCATTCCAACTTTAACCCTGTTTCATTCAGGGTCAAAGTTAGGGTGGCTCACCTAACTTGTACCTTTTGATCCTGTAGTGATACATCACCACAGCAGCTCTGTGCTCCCATGGAAAAGCTTCCCTTCCCATTCTGAAGTAGCTAGAGGACCTTTATCCATACCATAATGAGGCCATATACATCCTTCAGTGCATGTGAAGAACTAGGTTACATTTCTGCATGGCATCACCTTATGCCACAGACTTATCTTCGGATGTCTAGTTCTAGTCTATCAAGCATGACAGTGCTGGCCAGGGTTTTTCCATTTATAATCAAAGTAGAGCAGGAGTCAGCAACCTATGGCCCACAGCCACAAAGCTATTTAACTAAGCCTGCAGAGACAGCACTTCCAGCAGCAGTTGCTCTCTCAGTGCCACCACAAGGAAAAGTGCTGGCTGCAGGTGTTCTCCCCAAGACATTGTACAAAAAAGCACTAGTGGCAGTTGGGTCCACTTGCCTCTGACTCAAACTTGATTAATCCAGTCTGCAGGTTTAAAGGGTTATCAAACAATGAAGTAGAGATTTTACAACAATCTAGATTCTAGAGTCTGGATTTCTTCCTTTGGCCTACAAACATTTTGATTTTTTGTTGTATTTTGTACAAGTCCAAAATGTTTTTTGGGTTTTTTTTTACATCAGGTCTACAGTTGTAGATGCTACCTTAACCTTAAAAAAGACACAATTCCCCATCAACACACGTCATACCCAGACTTGCCTACTTCACCACCCAGACAAAAGTTATATATCTGTATTATATATTCATCCATCCTGCTTCTAACACTCAAGAATTGAAATAGAAATTTGGGGTCTGAAATTTTCTTTGCTGTACAGAGTTTAAGAAAGTCCTTGTAGCAGTTTCCATGCTTTCCCATCTGTTCCAGAAAGACTTGCTGTTGCACCAAACAAGAGGTGGTTGTTTCCTCCTCCTCGTATCATTACCATCACTCCTACTATTTGCAGTCTGTTCACATTAGAAGTGCACAAAGAGCTGTAAAGAATTTGATACATTCTTCTGTCACCTACACAGGTCAAGTCTTACTTAAAAAGAACAAACAGTGAAGTCACATTATCTTGTTTACTATTTACCCTCTCAGAAAATTTCTGTCATGCGTATAAACATTTATTTATTTATTAGTAAGTCTCATTTATTCTGAACACCACTGTTTGTCCTTTCATGCCTCACACTTGTAAGCCTAGGTTGTCAATGAAAACAGCTGTGTATCTGACTTGATTAAATATTGGTTTGATTGCAGTTGAACATTTATCCTCTCTCTCACTTTTGGTAACAAGAGATGCCGTATAAAAAGGAAGCACTACTGTAGTTCTTCAAATAAGGCACACCCGAATGTCCTGACTTTCAATTTAAGAAACATCATATAAAGACACCTCTATAGTGCACAAAAACTTTTTACTTTAACTCAAATTTAAGCCACCAGCCATTTGTTTTTGAAAAAAGGAGTCATATTTAAAGAAATACAGCAACTGTGGTAAACACCCAAGACCAGGGGTGCTTAACTCCTGGTCCACAGGGCTTCCCACAGGTTGGGAAATCTGGTGGCAGGGGAGCAGTGACAGTTAATATGGACACCCCTCCCCCTACTGCCAACTTCCCAAGGCCACATGGCTAGACTGGCCTTGAGGCTAAATCAGAGCTCTGCCACGGCCACCCTGAAGTGGGCCCACTTTGTAAAAGTTTGGGCACCACTGCCCCAAATGGTAAAGGACCTGAGTGAGGAAAGGGACCTTGTGCCCTAACACTTGTCAAACATCTCCCCCAGTTTGAGAACTGGTCCAGTAAAAGGTATCCCCCCAAATACCCTTGCTTTCCAGGGCTGCAAACACATACAAGAGATTATAAACTTGACTATTTCATCCCTAGATGTCATGGCTGATGAATCCCACTTTTGCAGTAAGCAAACATATACTGTAGGAGCAATGCTTAATGAAGCTGTGCCAGCACAGACCCTCATTAAAAAACTATGAAAAAAGCACTTCTAAAACTATACCACGTATCAGAAAAGGGATGTTCTGAACTAACTTTGTAAGAACTGAACAGCATCATTTTATAAGCAACACTGTTACAGGCAATATAAAGTTTATTGGAAGGGACACTAAGCAACAATAATATTGTGTCAATGCAGTATCAGAGCAGAAGCTTAAAAGTAGACTCTTAAGCTTTGAAACTATCTGGATAGCTGATGGGGAGAAGTAAACTAACTTAACCATGAGCAAGATTCTTCTGCTTATTTGAGGCATTCAGGACAGAATCTTTTAGTTAGATTAACAACAACCTAAAATCTGTAGATCAACTTTAAGGTTCCCAATGTAAAAATAAATAAATAAAATGTATTTTTAAGCTACAGAAAAAGCCTACCTGAAAATGCACTCGTGGACACTGGATGAGAGAGAGGTTAGTACCAATTTTCCTTACAATACTTCGAGATGAACCATAAGGCTTGCCTGACCAAAGCACCTGGGGGAAATAAAGTAATTATTACTTTTATTAATTTATTACTGTACTTATCAATAATTATTACAGTACTTGTAAAGCTGATAATTTTATTTTCATTTGCTCTTTTTGTACTTTCTAATGCTTAAATTAAACACATTCATGTCAACAATGCACATTCCTCTGCAGCACGGAAGACATGATAAGCACTGAAGTTTATATTGGTCATCTACACTGTATTGTGAAAAACATGATTTCACCTACTTGGATCAACACACAATTGGCTTTAAGTACTTGTAGCATATTCACCGTTGTTCAAGACCAAGATAATCTCTGCCCTAAGAAGCTTACAGTCTAAGCAGCAGATCTTAAGACATGACAAAGGAAGACTCAGAATAGTATTACCTGTATTTTTAGAAAGACAAACTCACTTATCTATAAGCTGAAGTAGAGAAAGAATGTGAATGGCTCAAACAACTCCTCTGAAATGCTCACAAAAAATAATTTAATCATGAAAAATTCCACTAAGTTGCTCTAATTTGGCATTTTCTAGTGATTCTCTTACTTTTTAGAATGAAAGCTCTCTTGGTAGAAGGGACTGTCTATATGTACATATTATATAGCAGAATGTACACTGCTGAAAATAAATTACTGTGGACTAGTTTAGAGATAACATGCAGTTGTGTAATTCCCTTAGGGCTTAAGAAGTGAAGTACCAGTGAGGGGGAGGAGGAAGGACAGGAGAGCATGGACTGTTGTAATCATGACAAATCTCATGCATGTATTAAACAGAAAAACTGCATAGCATTCCAGCACACCTGTTTATCTAGTGCAGGCTAATCAGGTTTCTTCCTTCTCGGCTGAGATAACTTGGTTTTATGTTCCTTTGTTGAATTCAGCTATGAAATGGTGCGTTATTAAAGTAGAATAAGAGATTAACAGATCTTTTGAAATGCTACATTCCAAAAAAGCAGACTATTTAGTATTTTAACACTAAAAATATTTAGGGCTACAAGCAGGGTTTTGCAAATAATCAAACAAACAGAGCAGAGATACTTTAAAGATAAATCATACTATACAACTCACAGAATACAGACCAGCTACCATTAGGTTATCTTCTCTACTGCTGGCTCTGAAAATTTGCTTTATTATATACTATTGCTTTTAACAGAAAGTGAGGTGGGCCTCTGATCCCAAGAAAGTATTTGGAAAATGAATCAGAACAGAAAATAAAAGTTTCAGAGAAAAACAACAGCTCATCTCTGAAGGGAGGAGAAGAACCCATGAGTAATGCAGCCAATTACAGGAAGGGCTTAAGTTATTTTTAAATATGGCTATTGTCTATGCTGGCAGATACAAATTTAAGCCTACCAATCAGGCTTTTCACTCATGGGAATATGCACTATTAAGCAATTTCAAAACTCTTCTAGAAGATCACCCAGAAAAGAAAGCTACGATTGTACACAAATGTAGGCCTAGTCCTCATTTGGAAGAGATGACAGACTAACAACTTGGATGAACAATGAAATATAATTAGTAGGCTTTCAGCATGTCAAAGTCTGTTGACATTTTGATACACATACAGTACTAAACCCAACCACAATTGCTATTAATTCATTATGTACAAAAACATAACAGAACTCTAATTTCAGGTATGGGCCTTTATATTAGTTCAAGGTCTTGAATGTAGACTTGGACAAGATGAATCTTTAAAGCTTTATTTCTTGGCTCCATGATTTTTTTGAAATTGTGAAAATGCAGTTTGTGTCTAGTACAATAGTATACATTGTACTAAGTTCCTATATATGAACTGTGCCAAATCAGTGCTGTACTCTTATGGTCTCAGAGAACGTACCTGAATATAATGTAAAGGTGGGGAAGGAAACTAGCTAGAGCCCACATATTTAACAACTCCCATTAGAGTCAGTCTTTCAAACTGAACTGTATTAACCACAAGGCTTATCGGGGTGTGGTAGAGAGGGAAAGGGGGAGCAGAAGCAGGAAGCCATGAGCATACACCAATCCCAAGGTATTGAATCTGTTGTTTTTTTTCCCCCACAATAAGGAAAAAAAGGGGCTATGAAGATAGTAACCAACAATTCTGTTAGCTGACAATCCCACATGCTTTGAACTGGTAAAGATGCATGAGACTAGGTGGCCCTGGATCTCTTTGAACGTGCATCTTGGCTTAATTGTTTTAAGAACTTGTATCTTCCATGATTTAGTATCTTATTGGGATTTTTAAAATAAGCCTTATTATTAAATTGTTTAAATAATAAAAAATGGCCAGCTCTTCTATTAGAGCTACCAGAAGCAGGATCATCAGTACTACAGTAGTCTCTACATGGGCTATATACAATATATTAGTTGTAAGGCTCCTTCCCTCCACCACCTCCAATGCCCCCATGCTTTTAATATTAAGGAGAAGGAATGTACATGGATCTCAAAAGATGACTGCATCGCACTTACTGTTTTTGCTTAGAGTGCCTTCACAGCAGTGACAACAAAAAAGTGGTTTCTGGACACTGTTTTGATCAGCTGATTTTGCTGAAGCAGTGAAAAGAAGAACTACATTAGTTCTGACCCCAAGCAGTAAGATAAACACGCTCCTTTCTGCTTCCCAGTGTAGAATGCAGTCATAGTATGGCATTTTGCTGGTGACTTTGGAAGTTATAAACAGAGTAAGAATTCTTGGAAGTTAGCCTCATCTTTGAAACTATTGATTATATATGTGCTGGGTGGGGGGTGGAGGACCAAACTTGCAGTGAATAGCAATGTTATATTATGAATTATACCTTCTATTATTTTAAAGCCAGACAGAAACAGCTTTCTACTTTAAATGTATATAGAACCTAATATATGATACCCAAAACATTAAGTTTCACAATCCTCTGATGACTAACAATTCAAGAACCCTATCAGCAAGCACTACATAATATTAAAAGAAAAAAAAAAACAAACCTACATGCAAAAAGACTTGAAGAGGACAGCACAAGCTATGTATTTTGATAGTTGTATATTTGAGTTCTTGAAAAAATAAGTACATCTGAAACACTTACCGAGTCCATATTCAGTCCGACTTGTTGTAAAGCCATCCTAATGAAGTGTTTAATCCAGTAGATCATCTGGAATGGCAAAAAGTTTTTCCAAACTTGTATTTAAACCTTCCAAATCTGCAAGGCTGCTGAGGTTCCATACCCCCCCCTGAAATGGGGAAAACATTCTTAAAGGTGTTCTGACATTTAGAGAAAATTACAGTCTCTAGAAGCCAGCTCACTATTAACAATAGCTATTTTCACTATTCCCATTGTAGGTAAAGTGGCTTTGGGATGTCTAAAGTTCTAGGTTAAATATAATATACATCATCATATCTTTTAGGTACTGGAATTACTGCAGAACATGTGGTAATAATTCTACGGCAGAATAACTTTAGCATAAGCAGAAGAATCACAAACAATTGCCTAATTATTAGTTAATTGAGCAAAGGGCATTATGGAAAACCTGGCAGAATGAAATTCAATTAGGATACCATAAATTTAAAAGTCACACTCCTAAATCATTTCCTGTTATTATTACTATTAACACTAACATTACTGTAACTGAAATTCATAAAGTAAATCCACCCCATTTTCTTATTGGGCACTCATTTATAGTCAACTTTGCTTTTCTCAATATAGAGCATTGCCACAAAACAGGGGAAGCAATTACAAAGCTATGAGACAGCAGACTTAGTGAAACCCAGGTGTCAGACCAGAAAATACTTTCAAAAGTAATTTTTGAGGTTGGCTAGATTTCAAGTTCACTCTGTCCTGTAGTAAGCAATACTCCAAAATTTGATCAACATGAAAGTCCTATCAAAAAGAAATAACTTTGCATTTTGTATTTGCTTCCCAGAGGATGATGAGTAAAGTATAACCTAACTGGACCTTTGGAGTGTTTGTGCCAACACCAAGACAATGAGTGGCTACTGTGCATTTAGGCTTCTGTTTGGCATAACTTCTAGTTGTTTTTTTGAAGGCAAAAATTCACCAAAGCAGTATGAATAGCAGCAAATTAGCAGTATAAACTACAGAATTATGATTTCCTTTTGCCAAAACCTTCAAATTTCCTTAGTAACCATTCAGAAAAGTTTTAAGTTAACATCTCTAAATAATAGTGAGAAAAAATACACAGGGAATGTGGTTAAGTAAGGAGACGGGAAGAGATGTAGATTCATAGAGAAAAAAGAAGTGCCGTGAAAATACCAATAAACAGTAGAGAAAGTAGAAGCGTCAGTGATCCTTTTAAAACATATTTTTCAACTGCCTAGAATTCCTTGGTAGTAACATACTCTATGTGGAAACAGCATAGGAGAGCTAAGCTCTACAAATGTTTACATAAGATTTAAAAATGTCATTTAACCAAGTTTTTCACCATCACAAAAAGCAGCTTATATTATATATATTACCATTAAGTGGAGGTAAACCCAGCTGAAAAACTGTACTTTAGGAATAATTAGCGAAGGTTCTCTGGAAGGGCATCTCAAGTGGAGTACTACAGGATAATGTCCTGGGCCAGGGTTTGATTCAGTATCTTCTACAAACAACAACTTGCCTAGCAAAATGTATATATTTCATATACAAGAGATTAGGACACCAGCCCACCAATATAGTGAGGAGAGCTTCGAAACTGTGTGTGAAGGGGGCTATGATAAAAGCTCCAGAAAAGTATTTCCTAATGGAAACAACAGAATAGAAGTCACTATTAGGTGGGGGTAAGCCTTGTTGAAAACCTGTATTCTAGGAGTAATAAGAATTGGTTCTCTGTCAGACATACATATTTTTACTAACAACTTGAATAAAAGAGCATAAGAACAGAATAGGAGACTACTATGGTTTGTAGATAATATCTAGCTGAAAGGGGTTGCAAACACTTTGGAGGACAGGATCAAAATTTATAGTGACCCTAATAAATTGGAAAAGTGGTCCAAAGTCAACAAAATGAAATTCAGTGAAGTACAAGCTGTTACCATTAGGAAAACTAAATCAAACATACAAAAACAAGAACTAGGAATAACTAGCCAGGCAGGAGTACTGCACAAAAGGATCTGGCAGATGGGAGTAGAGTTGGGCAAAAAGTGCATAAGAGTTAGCATACTACTACTGCAAAAGGCAGATCTCATTCTGGAGCATATAAACAGGAATATAATTAAGACATGGGAGGCACTTACTGTGCTCTAGCCAAAGCCTCACTAGCCATGGGTTCTATACGTACCAAACCCTGCTTTGGCATCATGTTAAGAAAGATGAAGTCAAACTGGAGAGTTCAGAAGAGAACAAGAATAGGAACTATGATGAAAGACTGAAGGAAGTGGATTAGTTTAATCAAAGAGAGATTAATGATGGGGGATATGCAAGTCTTTAAGTATGACAAAAAATGTTATAAAGATTATGATTAATTGTTCTCCATGCACCTTGGGAATAGGATGAGAAGAAACTGACTTAAAAATCACAGGACGCTTTAGGGTACATAATTGGGTAAAACCCCCACTTTTGTAGTTATAAGGATTGTTAGATACAAGCATAGTTCAGAACAGGCAGAGCCAACCCTAAGGTGTGTGGGGCCCGGGGCATAACAGCCTGGGGGGGGCAGCAGCAGCTGCATGGCAGCCGCGCAGAGTGGTGGCTGTGGGGACCCCCAAAGCATGGGTCCCAGGGCAATCACCCCAATTTGCCCCCCCCCCACCCCAAGGCATAGCTCTGAGAACAGGTCACCTACCTACTGGTGCAGTGTCTTTTGTTGGAGTGTTCTGTTAAAGGAAAGATATTTATCTAGCCAATTAGGACCTAAATATACCTAGATCAATCCTATCTCAGAACAGGGAAATGGACTGAGTTAAGGAAAATGGAAGCTGTGCCTGCAATCCTGTTGCTTCCCCCAGGCCCCTACTCCCTGGCTGAAATGTGGGCACAGCCTCTAGCTAGTGGGGAGCTGCACCACAGCTAGGAGGGGGAACTGGGGAGAAGTAGCAGTAGACAGGACATGGCTTCCAGCTGCTCAGCCCTGATGCAGCTCCCCACTGGCTGGAAGCTATACCTGCATCGCAGCCAGAGAGCAGGGGTTTGAGGCAAGTGATGGAAGTCCAACCACAGCTCCCAGCTGCCTGGCCCCTTGCCTGGTCCTGGGGCAGGCACCAAAGCCCCCCTGTTGCTGACTTGCCACCAAAGCCACTTGGCCTGCTTTGACTGAAGCCGGGTTACTCCAGCCTGCGACAATCTGGGGACTGGCAACCTGTAACAAGTGATCTCAAGGGTCTTTTGAGCCTACATTACTGTAATTAAGCCCCATGACCCTGCCAGTGCCTCTCCCTTCCACCCTGAAGCCCCCACCCAGGTGCCCAGAGCTAGGGCCTACAGCCCCTTGTGTTGTCCCCCCCCACCGACCCCATTTGTGGGAGGTGGCAGCTGCTGCAGCCAGAGTGGAGTGTGGAGCCTGGCTCCGTTTCCGCCTCCCCTGTGGGCAGCATGGCTGGAGCAAAGCATGTTGGGGGAGTGGGCAGGGTGGTAAGGAAGTAGGCTGCCTGCTGTGGGCTTGGAGCTCCCTGCCCTGCTGCCTTCCTCCCAGGGGCTCTATGCCCCAGCGAGCGAGACCTGGTGCAGGAGTGAATGCTACACCACCAAGACCCCCAAGCTGAGGTGCCCCCTGCCTGCCCAGCAGCAGTGGGGACACAACTCCGTGCTGCCACTGTCGTACCTCATCTTGGTGACTATGATGGTGCGGCACTCTGTCCTGTGCTGGGTCCCACCTGCTGAGCTGTGGAGGTGGCTTCTGCCTGGAGCTGGTCCAGCCCTATGCCTCGCTGTCAGTGCAGAAATCTTGCGACCCCAACCACTAACATTGTGACCCCATTCAGGGCTGTAACCCAGTTTGGAAACCACTGCTCTAGACATTTAACAAGATACGTTAGGGTGGAGGACACCGATTTCATACTCTTATTTCCATACTGAGGAAGGTCTTGTTCCCAATCCCAGATCTGTTGCTTCCTATTGGAGAATACCACCCAAAACATTGCACTGGTACCAAAAAAAAAAAAAAGTCTTGTTTTTATAGCCTCTCAGTAAGACACTGCCTGAAAGAAAAGTACAGTACTTGGAAAGTATTTCACCTTGATACTTTTATGAACTCCATTAGTTTTCCTGCATTATCATGGACACCTTCAAAAGTTATTTGCTTTACCCAGATTCCACTGCACTGTATCATATCTTTTTTCATAAATCACTCCTCTTTCACAATCATCTTATATGCTAAGAATGTAAAGATTGCATTCTCAGTGAAACTGCTGTACAGCAAGAACGAAAACACCTAGTTGCTCTCTCTCCATACTCTGTAGAGATACCAAATTTGAGCAATACAAATTAAGCATTTCTTCATTACACCACTCATTTCAAAGTTCGCTTTAAGATGCACCAAAAGATTTTCCTAAAGAACAAAAGTTATTTAAGATATAAAAATGACTCTCTTTTCTAACAAGAGTATAGATGCATTCAATATTCAATGCATGCATGTGTATCAGGGTGATCCTAAGAAGGACAGTTCCTAGATACTTTTCCAAACAAAATCTGCATCAAGTGCCTAAGAAACAGAAGTAATGTTCTACACATGAAAAGTCCACTGTATTCAAGCCACCTGTTTTGAGCCACCAGTGCCTGTACTCAAGCCACATGCAGACAGACTGCATGATCATAGGCTTAATTAAAAACCTTTTAAGTGCATAAACAAAAAGCTAGAGAGACTGCTGGTATTCATAGCACCTGTACAAGTGACCATTCTCTTCTCTAGGCTAGTACTTGCAAATAAAGCGACAAGGACCAATTTCACCATTTTGCTGCTTTCCTTAGCAGCAGCACCATAACAGATCCAAGTACGAAGATATCACTACAGTAAGATGTAGCACT